TTTTAGTGACTAAAGAAGTAAAAGAAAGAGAGGAGAGGAGAGGAGAGGAGAGGAGAGGAGAGGAGAAGGAAAAGAGGAGAAAAAGAGGAGGAGAGGAGGAGGAAAAGAGGAGGAAAAGAGGAAGAAAAAGAGGAGGAAAAGAGGAGAAGGGGAGAGGAAAGAAAAAACATTTATGTGGCCCTGGAAATACAATTTTTGATACTTCATGCAGGAAGAATATCTGATCTCCTGGCATATTGGATAAAGCTTATGAAGAAAAATGGTTCTGGGAACACCTTGGTGCAAAAGGGCTCTCTTGTGTGGGTATGAGAGCCAAAGGGCCTCAGTCTGGCATGGCAAACTGTGTGCTGGGGGAGCTGAGTGTATCCAGCAGTCACAGTCACAGATTGGTCTGGGTTGGAAGGACCTTAAAGACCAACTTGTTCCACCCCCTGCCATGGGCAGGGACACCTTCCACTAGATCAAGTTGCTCTGAGCTCCATCCAGCCTGTCCTTGAACACTTCCAGGGATGGAGCAGTCCCAGCTTCCCTGGGCAACCTGTGCCAGTGCCTCAGGGAACCCTCGCAGGGAACAATTCCTTCCCAAAATCCAATCTCACCCTGCCCTCTGGCAGTGGGAAACCACAAGTAGAACATGCCTGGCAGAAGCTGACACCCAGCTCACTCATTCAGCTTCATTGCCAGATGGCAGACAGGGTCACCAAGATGCCACTTACATTCTATTTCCATTCCTGGGTGGTCATCACAACAGCAGAGATCAGACTGAATCCCAATGGGACAGTGGGTCCTGGGCTCACTGCTGCCCCTGGAAGCCAGCTCTGCTGGCACAGCACCAGTGCTGAACAGACAGGAGCTGTTCTGCTCACCAGCTGCTACCTACTTCCTAGTTGTAAGCCTTTCAAAGTATGTGAACAGAAAGCATTAGTCCCAGCACTCTTCAGGGAACGATGTTACAAAAGGAGGAAGGGATCTGGTTTCTCAAACATGCAGAATCCTGCCTAGGCCAGTCCACCAAAAATGGGAAGATGCCATTTCAAAAGACACAGTTTATCCAGCCCTGGGATTAAATTGTAGCCAGAGAAATGCGAGAAAGAGAAAGAGTTCTGTTCTTCAACCAAGCCAGGCTGTGCCTAGCAGAAATGCACTCAACTTTCAGCTTGCAGGTTGTGCCATGGTCATTCAAGGTCCAGGACAGTCCATTCATAGTTCCATAGTTTCATAGTATGTTAAGGGGTTAGAATGGACCTTAGAGATCATCCAGCACCAGCCCCCTGCCCTGGGCAGGGACACCTCCCACCAGAGCAGGTTGCTCAAGGCTTTAGCCAACCTGGCTTTGAGCACTGCCAGGGCTGGGGCAGCCACAGCCTCCCTGGGCAACCTGTGCCAGTGTCTCACCACCCTCACAGGAAAGAATTTCTTCTGAATATCTGAATATCTGATCTAAATTTCCCTCTTTCAATTTATCCCCCTTACTCCTTGTCCTGTCACTGTGGTTCCTAACACAGAGTGCCTCTGCAGCTTCCCTGGAGCCCCTTCAGCTCCCGGCAGGTGCTCTGAGGTCCCCACACAACCTTCTTTTCTCCAGGCTGAACAGCCCCAACTCTCTCAGCCTGTCTTCATAGAGAAGGTGCTCATCCTCTAATCAGCTTTGTGGCCTCCTCTGGACCCCTGCAGGCAGACAGTGAGCTATGACTGTGGTTCAGTGTGTGCCAGGCAGCATCAACTCCTTAGTTATCTACTGAGGTGCAGTGGAGAACATGATTAACTCCTGGAGAAGTGGCATTTCCATGGAGCAGGCTCCTGACCACACCATAGGGAGGATGTACAAGGGCTTGGTGGCCAAGGAAGAGCTCCACTGAAACAAGCAGAGCACATCCACCCCAGAGGCACAGGTTAAGGACATCTCGGTTCTGGCTGTCCCAGGCCTGGACTACCTAGTGCTGACCTAGCACTGAACCTCAGCCATGTGCTCAGCTGTGTGACCTCAAGAAACCAGGGTTACACATCTCCTGAAGTGACGGCTTTGATCTGGAGGTTGCTGTTCCAGGATAACCAACAGGCAAAACTCTTGGCCTGATGCAAACACAGAGCAATAAGATTCACCCGAAGAGAGTTGGAAAATAACTCAATGAGCCAAGCTTCTGTGCCTCTGTACAGGCCTGGCAGTGTGTAACACCTCCAGTTGTATTTTTACTGAGACAAAAACTTCCAAGCACCAACTGTCCTCCCTGCTACAAGGATGTGGTTACATCCTGGGTTAAAATTCCCAGCTCATAAAGCCTAGCTGTGGATCTGCCAAGCATCTGAGAGCTTAACTCTGCTTACAGAGCAGGAGACAGAGCACTTGCTTGACCTCTTGGGAAGATGCAATGTTTTGGTAGGGCTGACAGTCCTAAGTCCTGGAAAAATTCTGGGCCACAGAAATCATGAGGTGGGCAAAAATGTAATTTTTTAAAAAAAATATGAAGTATTGGGTCAGTTTTCCTTGTCAACACCACGTATAGGGTTTTGCTTGCAGCACACCTTGCAGCATCCTTGGATGCTCTGGTATGGAGGCCACTGGAGCTAAGAGGTGGAGGAACTAGGTGGGACCACCCTCAGGTGCTGTGGGGTCATTCTGAAGAGATGATTGTATATGAAACATGGGCAAAAGCCACAGTTTGTTCTGAAACAACTCTGCCTAAGCAAGAAAGAGCTCAGCCTCCCTGAGAGCTCCCTGAGACAGCAGCACTGCTCAGCCCTACACCTCAGCAGTCTATTTGCTCATTACCTACAAACATTTTTGTACAACCAAGGAATAAATAATTTGCTAGCACCACAAGCAGTTCAGCCAAGTGCTGACTCTCCTCTTACCTCTGCCATCCAGTGCAAGATATTCCCCCTGGATCCTTGGCTTGAGATGTTAAAGCCCTCGAGGATGTTCAGTGCTGTCATCAGTGCAGGACCTGCATGTGGTGGTGGAGGGCTGAGAACAAGGTGACCTGTGTGGGGAAGCAGAGAGGAATGAAGGTGCTTTTGTCAGACACTGTCTGGTTAGAATACTCCCTCATAAGCTACTGTGCTCAAGGACAGGGAAATCTTTCCAGATTTGAGGGCAAAGGATAGAAAGCAACAGGATTTGAGAAAGATTTCCCAGAACATTCCTGTTGTGTCTTTCTGTTTCTTTATGAAGGATGAAGGGAGCCCAAACAGAGATGCTTTATTTACATCTGAAATTCAGTTCTTGTTGGTTGACTGTTGGTCACTGTACTGCAGGATGGAAGAATGGAGATACAATCACAGAATCCCAGACTGGTTTAGGTTGGAAGGGACCTTAAAGCTCACCTACTCCAACCCCCTTGCCATGGGTAGGGACACCTTCCACTTGCCCAGGCTGCTCCAAGCTCTGTCCAACCTGGCTTCAAACACTCGCAGGGATGGGGCAGTCACAGCTTCTCTGGGCAACCTGTGCCACTGTCTCACCACCCTCACAGCAAACAATTTCTTCCTAATTTCTAATCTAAGTCTCTCCCTTTTTAGTTTAAAACCACTCCCCCTGTCCTATCCCTATCTGCCTGTGTTAAAAGCTGTTTTGCCTCTTTATTACAAGCGCCCTGTAAGTACTGGAAGGCCACATATAAAATGGGTTTGCAACATCACTGCTCTAAGGAGAGCAATGACAGGGATTGCTAGAAAAGAACGACCTTTTAAAAACATTTTGCATTAAATCAGCTTTTCTCCCTTGTAGTTTAACTCTTGGAACTGTCTTCAGACATAGGTGGTGGCCTATGGTCCTGCTTCTATCAAGATGTTGCAACAAGATGTGATCACGTTGCACCTTTACACTTTAACACTATCAAAATTCCATTGGTCACTAGGGAAAAAACATTTCCAAATGCTGAAAACCTCCTGAACTGCCTACAACACATCAGTGTCAGCAGGTAATAGCAGGAAACTCCCTGGAAGGCCTTTCTGCAGACACCTCAACATGGCTTTGACTTGCCACCTCTTGCCAGGTGAAGCAAAGTTTTACCTGGAGTTGCATGGCAGTGGGTGAGGGTTTACCTCGATAGACTGTGTGGACAGGATCCTCAACCAGGACACTGTAATTGCTGAAGTCCTCCTCCACCAAGACTCCTCCATAGCTGTGGACCTGCATGAGAGCAAAGCAGCATACACTCAGCAGGCTGGGTCAGGGCTCCCTGTGCTCCTTCTGCTGGCCCAGGTAACACACACCTCACCATCAAACACATGCCAAGCCAAGTGCCAGGTTCCTTAGGATACTCTGAAAAGCTGTGCTTCCATGGCCTTGGTGGCCTGGCTCACCATTCACCATGCGGGAAGCTCTGCAGCTCACCCCCAACAGCTCACCCACCCCAAGGTTGCTTTGAAGACCACCTGTCTACCAGGGAAGATGGGGACTGGCACTGCCCTGCAGCCTTCTCTGCCCTGAGTGGGAAGCATGAGTGTGTTAAAGGTTATGAAGCATTTGAATACTGGCAGGAGAAGAGAGATATATGGATCCAGAAGGAACCTGGGTGTAGCAGATGGCCATCATTAGAAATCTCCATTACAAAATCACAACTCTCACCCCATTTTCAATTATTTCAGGCAACATTGGGGCTGCTGTAGCCTTGGTTTTCCGGCAAGACTCTCCTAGAGGTAAAATTTACCAGGGTTGGTAATTTTCATGAACACAGTACAGATAGGTGATTCCCCCCACTGCAGGTCCTGTGGTTGAGTCATGATGGAGACGAGGTAGGACCATCACAGGGTGTTTGGGCACTGAACAGCTCCCCAGGGCAGTGATCACAGCCCCAAGCCTGGCAGAGCTCAAGGAGTGTTTGGACAATGCTCTCAGGCACAGGGTGCATTGTTGGGGTATCCTGTGCAGGGCCAGGAATTGGACTAATGATCCCTGTGGGTCCCTTCCAGCTCAGGAGATTCTGTGATTCCATGATTCTATGAGGTGCACTCTGTTGGTCTTGAAATCCCCTGTGGTAGGTAATGCTCTGTCAGTGTCCAGGTGCTACAGTGCTCATGGACCAACTCTGTCCTTCCACCCAGGCAAAGCCACACAACCTGGTGAGAGGTTCTGCTGGGATGAGTTGTTGCTGTGAGTCCTCTGGATTCCCATCCAAAATAGGGCAAGAACAAACCACCTGTGTGTGCTCTGAGCTCTAACCTACTCATCTCACAGTGGCAGGAAACCTCCTGCTCTGGCAGAACTGGATGAATCACAGCAACAGGAGAGCTAATGCAGGACACGTTGTGGAGGCAGCATGTCAAACCACCCCAGAGCTGCTAAAGATGTCTCTCCTACTTGGGATCCCTGTTTCCTTCCCCGAGGCTGAGCCCAAGGGCTGTGCTGAGCTGCTGGTGCCCACGCTAGGAGCTGTCTCCCCGGAGCCTGGCCAGCTGCACCGGTGGAGGAGGAGCAGGATGGCATGGAAAGGGGAGAAGCCCTGGTCAGCCACGCACTGCAGGCAAGAGCTCAAATTCCCCAGACAGCACTTTTTTGCACCTGTGCCTGGAAACAAAGAGTGAGGTGGTTTGGAGCTGTACTTGATTTCATCACATTAATGCCCTCCCAGTGCTGGAACAAAAAGCACTGTGAGAAGCCAGCACTTAGCTCTGCAACCAGAGATGGAACTGTGCACTGGATCCCAGAGCTTGCCAGGGTGTTTGGTGTGACAACCCTGGGCCTTGCTCCTCCACAGTGTGGTGAGACTGGCACAGGTTGCCCAGAGAGGCTGTGGCTGCCCAACCCTGGCAGTGTTCAAAGCCTTGAGCAACCAGGTCTGGTGGGAGGTACCCTGGGCAGGGGCTGGATGATCTCTAAGGTCTATTCCAACTCTTTCACATACTATGAAACTAAGAATTTATGCTTCCCTGCAGCAGCCCCCAGGTCAGGGGAACCAGGTGACAGAGCAGGGTTTAGCTGTGGAGATGCTCACAAGCTTGAGACTTCTCCTGTTCTTTGTCCTTCACCTCTGCTGTGGCCCAAGGAAACTGTAGAATTCCAAACACAGAACTCATAAAGGTCTAAGGCTTGAGTGTGATGAACCCATTCCACATTCCTGATGTGATATTGAAGGTGCCTCAGTTGAACTGTGGTGGCTGGGATAAACAGTGCCACCAACCACCCTGACACAGTCACACAGCTAGAAGTGTTGTGTGTTGGGTTTTTTTTTACCAGAATAATTACTTTGTTTATTGTTGATTATTTTTCCAGGGCATCTCTAACAACAGGAGTTAAACTAGGGCAACCCCAAGTGGGACTAAGCCTCTACTCACAAGATTCACAGTTTGATTTTTAAACCATCTTCCTGCAGTCCGTATCTCACACTCCCATTAACAACCATCTGTTTCTCAACAGCAGGGCACCTCTGGTTCTGGAGGAAAAGGGGTTGTCACCCAAACTAACATAGCCCAGAGGTGTCCTGAAATTGATCTTTTTTTCCTTTAAAAATAGTCTGTTATAGAGGTCATAGAGGAAATGGAGGTTTCACTTCCGTAGGCAGTGGGAATGGCCTGTGTGTCACTTACACCTCTCCAGGGACAGGAGAGAAAAAGGAGGCCCCACACATCTGTCCCCATCATTGTGCTGACATTTGGCTTATCTCCAGTTTGTCACCTTAAGCAGGTGACACGGCAGGTGGCAGCCCCAGCCTGGCAGGAGACAGGGAGAGCCCTGGCTCACCTCAGAGATGATCTCCTGGGTCAGGTTGCCACTGTAGAAGGCTGACACCCCCTCTGCCCCCAGCAGCTGCAGCACGGCCGCCAGGTCCGGGCGCCGCACGGCCATGCCGGGCAGCAGGGGCTGGTCGTCTGGCAGGAAGATTTCCCGGAATCTGTCCGAGCAGTTCAAGTCCTTCAGCTCACTCAGGGCTTTGGCTGCAGGGGAGAAGAGGAAGGACATCCAGAAAAAGCAGGGAAAGGCACAGGGGACTTTGATGGGGACATTGGAGGCTTGCTGCTGCCTCTGGCTCTGCTGTAAAACTAGAGCGAGGCTGGATCATGGATCCATTGGAGCTGGGAAGGAAACCCAAGGAAACCCCAGTGCCCCTCCCTACCTGGCCCTGGGCAGTGCCAAGCGTGGACTGCTCTGACCTGGCTCTGCCCAGCCATGGCAAAGGGCTCCAGTTTTGCTGCCATCACTCTCCCTTGCAGCCCATGGCTCAGGCATTACTCAGATCCCAATACCATCCAGGTCCAAAGAGCCTTGATTTCCCACAAATAACCACCCACATCCCCAACTGCCTCACCCCCCAGCACAGTGGCCAGTGAGCTGCCCTGTGCTGAGAGCCACCCTCATCCCCACATCAGGTACTCACCCAGATCATGTGTGACATTGAAGCCGTTCTGGGCGACACTGGCTGCGAGGCCCAGCAGCTCGGCCCAAGGGAGTCTGCCAAAGGGGAGAGGACAAGGAAAAATGTGCCTTGGAGGAGGCAGTGGGGCAGGAGGTGGGGAGCAAGTGCAGGGCTCAGCTCTGTGGTCAGGGGCTCCTGAAAGACCAGACTGTGGGGTCAGAAGTGACCAAAAGGAGAACTGGACTTTCAGTGAGGTGTTTGTTTTTACCAGGATCATCTCAGTGCTCCAGGATGTGCACCAGAGTGGAAAGGTAGTGCATGAACAGGGGAAGGAGCATCTCGGGAGCAAAATCTCAAGCCAGGCTCTGGCCCTGAGCAAATCATTCAGATCTCTCTCTCCCTATCCCAACAGGGCACCAAAGACAACCACACTTCCTAGGATGCAGCTAAAGAAAGGATGAAAATACACAGACATGCATAGAAATGTGCTAATGTCTCTAAGAGAACATTTATTTTCTGTCTTGTTAGTCAAAGTGTCACTTTGCAGAAAACCTGACCAAGCTGAATTATTTCTTTTGTACATGAAGTCCCAAAACATGAACATCTTTTTCAACACAAGTCTCCAAGTAATCCTTAGCTAATGGTTTTGAGTGGTGGCTGAGAACATGGACTGATGGCAAGGGCTTGTGTACTCCAGCTCCCCCTGGGATCCTAGGGCACAGCCTGTGCCAGACTTGTGCCTTACCTGCCATGTAACTGGTGTGCTTGGTGCATTCCTTGTATCATGCCTGGCACCCCCACGAGCAGACCTGGCTGTAAAATAGGAAGGACAAGAAGGAAGAGTAGCCTCCTTTCCCTGAGGACATGGTCCCCAACTGCAAGTCAAGGAAACATACGTCATGTTCACTTTGGAACTATCTGCATAGTTAGGAGAGGGGAAGAGGTCTATAATCACACACTTAATTAGGGAATTAAAGGTTTTGGAAAGAAAGAGGCAAATTCAATCCTGTTCTCATCCCAGTTTGGTCAGGAGAAATAGCTCAGCAGAGGTCCTTCCTGGGGCTCTTGTTCTCCTGGCTCCCTCCTGCCAGAGGGAGGACCCTCATTACTCCCCAAGCCCTTTGGGGCTGATAAAGTATTTTCCCTAGATTCCCAATGTCTGTAGAGCCCAGGATCTCCCAAGGTGAGAGAGGTTTCCTGTTGCTTTGATGGGCAACTCCCTGTTGGCGTGAGAGTTGTGGGGAGGAAAGCTGGAGAGAGCAGCCCTGGCAGGGATGGCTGTGAGACACTGGTCCTCACCTTGGAGTCCTGCTGCAGGTCCCCTTCCAGCGGGATGCCCAGGGGAGCCACCTCACGGAAGTCGATCACCCAGCTCCTGTTCTTGCGGATGTTGTGCACCATCATCACTCCACCCCTGCAGTGAGATGGGGTCAGGGCACAGCCCCGGTTGCTCCTGCCACAGGCACTGCCATATGGCCAGAATGAGAGTGGGGGTGCTACTGGGGCCAGGGCCAGTCCCAGTGGGACAGGGTCACTGTGGCAGGTCACCAGCCCCAGCAGTGCCCCGGGGTGGCCAGTGGTGGGGGGGAACACTGCTGTCCTTCCCCAGAGCACATGCCAGGACAGCTGAGGCAGGGCTAGTGCAGAACTGAGACTGTGTGAGGCTGGATTAGTCCTTGCCAGCCCAACCAGGGAGCCACTGGCTCTGTTCTACTGCCAGGTTAGGACCATCTGGGATTTTCTTTCTAATCCAAGCAGTTTCGCAACAAAAGGGGTTTTTAGCTTACAGCAGCAATGGGAGGTACAGCTGGAGCAGCTATCAGGTAGCTGTGGTTTATGCAATGCTCCTGAGCAGAGCCAGGAGCACCAGGCTCACGTGGATACCACCCTGGGCATGAGGGCTGGGAAAAGGCCACTCCTCACTGCCATGCCTCCCTGGCAGCTGCCCGGAGCTGGGCTCAAACCTCAGCCTCAGGAGCAGAGCTTTTGGAGGGGAGGACTAGGTCTCTGACAGCACTGGGACTGAGCCTGGGGTGTTGCCAGCTCCTGGCACACTCAGTGGGGCTTGTCAGCCCTCTCAAGCCTGAGGCTTGGACTTGCCCGACAGCCACCAAGGCAGCTACAGCTTTTTCCTCCCTGGGGGTCTCTGTACTTCACTGACAACACAGGGCACAGGAAGGGTCCCTGTCCCTGTGCAGATGTGGACACATGCATCACTGGTACCACACACTGGGCCTTGTGCTACCATGAAGGCATTTCTCAGCTAGAGAGGAACTGTGGACAAGGACAGATAGTGGCAGGACAAGGGGTAACGCCTTTAACCTGCCAGAGGGCAGGGTTCCATTAGATATTGGAAAGAAATCTTTCCCTGGGAGGGTGGTGAGGTGCTGACACAGGTTGTGCAGAGCAGCTGTGGTTGCTCCATGCCTGTAAGTGTTCCAGGACAGGTTGGATGGGGCTTGGAGCAACCTGGGCTAGTGGAAGGTGTCCCTGCCCATGGCAGGGGATGGCACTAGCTGAGCTTTAAGGTCCCTCCCAGCCCCAACCATTCTGAGATTCTGTTACCCCACTTGCTTGAGGACAATCACAGGTGACAGCATGGGAGAGTGAGCAGCACTTACCCTCCAAGGCCCGAGGTGTGTGGGTTGACGATGCCCGCGCACAGGGTGGCGGCGATGGCCGCGTCCACCGAGGAGCCCTGTCTGTGCAGCACCTCCGTGCCCAGCGCCGTGCAGCGCGCGGCATCCGTCACCACGGCCCCGCGCTGGAACAGCTGAGGGGAGGAGAGCCATTGTGTCTGGGGAACGGTGCTGGGGCAGCCCAGGGCTTCACCCAGCCACGTGGCACGTGAAGCCTGAGCCCAGCGCCAAGGCCGTGGCTGATCCATGTTTTCAGATGCCTCCCAATGCCAGTGGGAGCCCTTGGCATGTCCCTGCACCAGGGACCTGCCTGCAGCCACACAGCTATAAAAGTGTTGTGTGGGGTTTTTTTAGCAGAATAATTACTTTGTTTGTTGTTGATGTTATTGCCAGAGCACCTCTGATGACAGAAGTTAAACTAGGGCAAGCCCAAGTGGGACTGAGCCATCCTAAGACTCTGCTAACAAGGCTCACAGTTTGATTTTTAAAACTGTAACCTGTATCTTACGGTCCCATTAACAACCATCTGTTTCTCAACAACAGGGCACCTCTGGTTCTGGGGAAAAAGGGGTTGTCACCCAAACAAACACAGCCCAGAGGGGGCTTCAAATTGATCTTTGTTTCCTTCAGAAACAGTCTGTCCTGGTCATAGAGAAAATGGAAATTTCACTTCTGCATGCAGCCATGGCCATGAGCTCAGACAGCTTTCAACAGCAGACATGCTAAGCTGGGGGCCACATTTCCCCCTGTCCCCCACAGTCCCAGAGCAGGGCCAGAGTAATCCTCAAGAGCAATGGGTGACAGTGCTGTCACTGTGCTGCAGCCAGGCAGTCACTGGGAGCAGGAATACAGCTGCAGAGAATGCAGCATCCTACCCAGTACCACAGCTTGTTCCCATCCTTCCCTGCTGCCAGTGCTAATGCAGTCCCAGGGTGTTTTAAAAGGTTGGTTTTAACACCATGGTACAAATTGTAGCATCTTAGCATGAGCCAGAGTGGCCTGAGGAAGTGCAAAGACTAAAGGGCCACTGCAGCATATGGAGCAGATGATGGTGACTGCTGGCTGACCATGACTCTTCCCAGGCTGATGTTCTGCAGGAGCATCCCACCCCATGGCCATGCTGTCTTTGCTCTGCAATCCAGCACTGGGCTCTGGGACACATCAGCAGGAGGTTTACCTCTGTTTTCACCTATTTCCCTGCTTGGTCCTGGATGGATCTTCTGGAGGTCTGGGCCACAAGACTCTCTTCGAGTGGACATGTAGGAAAGATGCTGACTGTCTAACTAAGGACTGTTGTCTGAAAGCATTCACATCTGGCTCAAGCCACAGCTGGAGTCCCAGCAGCAGGGCTGCCCATTCCCCCCCAGCAGCATCCCCAAACCTGCCTGGCACAGCCCCCCACATCCCAGCCGTGGGGCAGGCACCGAGAGCACAGCTCAGCTCTCCAATACAACCCCCAGGTGTTGGGAAAAGCTTTCCAGGCAATTTGGGGTGGAACTGCAGAGACAGCCTCAGCACCAGGGTCCTGCTGGCACCAGCCATGGCTCACCAGCACTCACCCCACCAGGCTGCTGGCCAGGAGGAGAGTTAGGGACCTTCTCCTATTTTTGGAGCCACAGTCCAACTGCAAAGCCACTGCTTTGTCTTACCTGAGGGTCTCCAAAATAGATCTGCATGATGAGGGCCACTGTGACACCCGTGGCAAAGGTCAGGCAGGCAGTGATGATGACAGTCAGCCCGTCCTGGCGGCAGCTGCAGTCCCCGGAGAAAGGGTCCTTGCTGGTCTCCTGTAGAGGGGACACGTCCTGGCTTCCCATCTCCGAGGAGGACGAGGGCAGGCGCTGCAGACGCGCAGACTTCAGGAAGGAGTCTGGGTCTTTGTGAGCAGCAGGGAGAAAACAAGTGTGAGTTATTGAGCAACTCAGGGCTCTTATTGCAGTGTTTACCCAGCACTAATGTTCCAGCATGGCTATCACCTTCCCTATTGATCCCAGCTCTCAAGAGCCTTTCTGGCTCCGATGCTGCTCTAGGTCATTTTACTGATCCCTTCCTTTAGCTCTAGTTATTCCAAACTGACTTCCCTGGAGATTAAGAGGGACAAAAAAAACCTGAATTTTTGCTCCGTTTCAGTCCATTCATCAGTCTTCAGTGATGGGCCCACAGTTCCTGCTCCGTTTGGAGGGGTTCTTAACACAGCACTGACTGGCAAACAGCTCTCTGATATGCAGCAGGACTGAAGAAGATATAAAGATATATAAGATATAAAAAAAGATCCAGCAGCTTTACTTGGAGCTATGCTTGAGCTAAAGCACCTGAGCAAAACAGAGGTGAAGCAAAACACGTGGCCTGGGCACAGAAAATACATCTAGGGAAGCATGGCAAGGTGAGGGCAGAGAGGACCAAAGCTGCAAATCGGAGACCTCGGGGCATCCACCTGCTCTGCAGGAAGGACTCCGCTTTAATCCCTTGTTTCCTCTGGCAGATGAGGCCCACTGGGGAATGAAGCCACTTGCCAAACACACAGCTCCAAGATGGCAAAATGGTCAGGGGGTTGTTGGGCCTCTGCCAGACAGCCAACACTGCTCAGCAGGGTGAAAAAGTCTCTTTTTTCATTCTAAAAGATGCCTTGAATCTCTGCAAGTGTCAGCTGCTGCCTTTGTGCTGGGAGGACACCAGCTGAGCATGCCCTGCCTGTCCCCACTCACTGCTGTGAGGATGTGCCCATCCCTGCCAGGTACCAAATGGGACCAAGCAGCTCAGAGCATCATCCAGGGCTCCTGGAGGAATTTTTTTGGAGGCTGCAGTGCTCCATGCATCCATGGTGGAAAAGAGGGGCACCAAGTGGAAAAGACAGGATGAGAAGCTTGTGCCTCCATACAGGAGATGTTTCCTGGATTTGGAAAGGGAGAATGGAGCGAGCAGGAAGTCCACATCCCCCATCCCCCTGCCTGTATCTCCGTCTGCTCTAGCAGGTGGTATCACCTTGGGGACTGCCAGCCTGGTCCTTGCCATGACATTAACAAGACCTCCTGGGTGCAGCTCTCCTGGGACCAGGGAGGGAGGTAGTTTTCATTTCAGTGACACTACAACCAGGAGTAAAACTCCACAGCCAAGGAATCTGCTCGGGGTGAATTCAATCCCATTCACACTGTGGCGATTTGGGAGCACAACTGGGAAAGGCTCAGCTTCCTCAGCCTGTGCCTCTGAGCACACACTGAGCCCCTCCCTGGCTCATCTGGTCTCATTGAGCTGGGCCTGCAGCGTGGGAGAACTGGCTGGTGGCCTCGGGTGGGGGCCACAACTGGCCTGGCAGGGGATGCCACTGGGGAGGGATGTCATACACAGCCCCTGGCACTTCCGAGCGAGGCCCCAGACCCACCAGTGGGGAAACAGCAAGGAGTGAGTTGGGCCCCTCTGCCTGACTCCTCCAGGACACTGTCACTCAGCTCATGCAGCTCTTGTGACAGCCCAGCCCAGCACAAGAGGACATGAACACTTGGGGAGCAACCACGGGAGAGGGCAGGGCACAGCCCTCCCACCACACACCAGCACCTTAGTTCTCTGCCATAGACATCCAACGCAGCCTTAGACAACTCACTTAGTCTCTGAGACCACGTGTGGACAGCAGGGCTGTGGCTTGGGGCTGAGAGCTCCTGGAGGGCTCAATCAGGAGCACAGAGGGCACGGAGCAGCCTGCATGGCCAGTGCACGGGTGCCCATTCCACCACCCATGTCCACACTTTGAAAGAGGAGCCACCAAACCCTACTTGGCGGCCATGGGGGCCGTGAAGGAGATGTGGCTTCACTAGGAAACCAACGCTTTGGGGAACCAGAGCTGCCTCAGCTCTGGAGCCACTGCCGAGGGGACAGCAGAGACCAGAGCCACTTGTGGGCTCTGGCAGGAGGAGCTCAGATGCTCCTGCAACCCACACACAGTGTCAGACAAATGTGTTTCCACAGGTCAGGAGAGCAGCCGCTCCTCCAGCCAGAACCATGCTGAGTTCTGGGTGTGAAACTAGGCCTCGTGCTTCCAGAAGAGCTGTTCCCACATACCTGCACACAGCAGCTTCACCCCAACAGCACAGGAGGGCACGGGGTGAGAATGGGCAATGGGAGCTTCACCCGTGGGCACAGTGGGACAGGGCAGAGGACAAGGGGCACGTGGGGCTGTGCAAGGGGCCTGGGGATTTGGGGGTAGGCAGGAAGCAATCCCAGGGGAAAGGGCAATGCTGCTTGGGGAAACGTATCATGGGAGAGAAACAATGTTTCTCTCATACGGAGGAGGAAACAATCAGTTAAAAACAGGCAGAGCGTTTTCTCATGGATCAAAGGATCACTGACTTAACTCCAGCTGTGCACCAGTAGAGGGATGGAGCACCCCAGAATGGAGGGATGCCCGAGGA